TCCAAAAACCTCAAAAAATACTCAATTTACTACATTACAGAGTCCTAAAACCTTAAAATGTTTGATTTTTGGTAGAAAATTACTTATTGATTGATTCATCTTCAAAATAGCTGATTATTAATATTTTCGCTCTTCTCCAGACCGACCGGTTTGTTTGATCTGATTGGTTGAAGTTCTGCGTCTTCCTTTTCCAATCAGTTTCCCAATGAGGACTTCCCAGATGGTTCTGTGAAAACAAACTCTAGCTCTAAAAATCTGCCTGTAAGCACCTCTAAAGCGCACTAATTTCACAATTTACTATCTTGCTTGATGTACAAAAATCAAAGTGGGAAAAACAAAGAGGATCAACCAGAAGAAACACCAGCGAAATTCCAGCTCCAAGGCAAGAAAATTGAACAAAAGTCAAAATTATCCGGGTACATAACCCCCTACAGTAAAGCACAAGGACCAGCCACGCCTCTAAAGCATAAAAGTCATCATTAATGTGTTTAGAGCATAAAACGCAAACAAGTAGGCCTATATCTCAGCATTTAGGTTCACATCTGTGAAGAAATGTACTATGTAAAGTAAGTACTCTAATGAAACAATGGCCAAGAAAACAGCAAATTTGTCAAAATGATTGTTAAAATGATTAAAATACATAATACAGACAAAATAAAAAGTATTGTCTGAAAGTTCCCTAAACAGGGAGTTTCCTGCTTCGAAATTCTCCAAATCATCATTTTACACAACTTTCTGCAGTACTGATTTCACTAGTTCATTGCACGTTTTGGATGATAACATGAAAATATCCATAAATTCACTCTGTCAGTTGACTAAATGATAGAAAAAATGGTGGGAACCAGTGATTTTAGAGGTGCTGATCCCTTGGACAGAACCAGACCAGTGTTTTATCCGCCCCGTTGGGCTCTAACTTACATTTTAAGACAGAAAGAGCTAAGAGTGCATTAATCTTCTCATCGACCTCTCGGCAAGAAATAAGCACCAGTTCCACGAATAAGTCCCAAATGTTAAATATATTATGTTTTAAATGTTGACAACCTCCATACTTCCCTCCACTGAGCTTCCCCCCTTGTTCCCAAAGCCCTAAATACGTATAAGAAAGACCCTTTTGTGGTGGGCCTGGCTGCAGTGAACATACCTACAGACACCCCCCCCCCCAGTCCCCACATAATAGCCTGCCCCCAGCTGTGGAAGGGTTCAACAGCTCAGCTCCAAACACCAGCATCTAATGCCGCATTAAGTAAGAGTTATTCCCAAGTTTAGTGCATGTAGGGGCCTGGATTGTAACACTTAAGATCCCATTTGTGCATCTACTTCTGTATTTGGAAGAAAATGCCCAATAAGAGCAAGAGAACTAATTGTTACTGCTGCCATGTTCCCGCTCTTATCTCCCGTTTGTTTACGAATTTCATACAACTTATCCGTGAAATTGAGCTTCCTGTTTTCCACCAGATCCCAGCGTGAGAAAAAAAGGGGGGGAGACTCAGGTGTGTGAAGCTGGTGGTGATCACCTGTAACCTGTTTTCACCCTCTTACAAACAAACCAACCAGATCACAGCGAGAGTACCGTAAAACGTCGGGTCTCATAGGTTCCTTTTCTCTTACCGAAATGGAAAAAGTATGAATGTTTAATTCAATGAAAGATCTTTTTGATTTAGTGGCCTGCTGTATGGTTGGTATGCTGTTTATTAGTGTAGCGATCCCAGTGAAACGTCTGTGGGAGCAGTGTGTTATTTCAAGCTTATTCCAGAGTTTTTGTGGCAAAACGCTGCTTGTTTTTCCTCTGTTCATAAACCTGATGCCAGTGTTGAATACCCTTTTCATTTGATTGTTTTATTATTTCCTATCAGAGTATCACTTTTACGTAAAAACAAAGTATAGAGTTGGCGTTTCGACAGATCTCGAAGCCTTTTTCTGCCCCTCACACCTGCTGCTGTTGGGCAGAGTGACGTCAGGGTTTGGATTGTCGCTGTGTATGAGGACGGAGTTTGGTAGCATTTCATCGAATTTGAATCCTTTCTACCTAATTTCTCCATTTGCTGCGAGTTAAAATTACATTTGCTCTTAATGAGGGAGCAGCCATACTGGAAATATCTTCTGCATACATGATGTTGTGTAACTTAATGTTACCTGAAGGCATTGCAGAATACAGTGTAACACTGGCGGTAGGCTGATGTGGTGCACTAGTCTTTCACAAGTTAACACTTAAACATGATGAATAGTCATTAAATGTTTAAGCAAGGGACTTGTTAGCCTCTTAGCCTCTTTTGTGCAGCCTCCCTCAAGCATTTCCCAGTGGTTTCCTGACTATGGTGGAGTGTATCCACAATTTAGTCTGTTCAGATGGTCACTGTGTCAGATTAGGCGATCACTGAGTGACCGAGCTCGCTGTCTTTCCTGACCTGTGGGATGTCACGAGGAACGAGGCACTTGGGGCCGACATCCAGGAACAAGAATGTAAACATACAGTGTCGTCTGTAATAGAGTTTGTTGTTGTTAACTATGATCCACTCCAATTTTTGTTCCTGAATTCCTACATCTGCCGGGTCAGGCTATTATCGTCTAATGGCGCAGCTCTTGTTAACAACTGTGTTGCACAAATGTGTTTGTCTTTGCAAACATCTTATCTATTGTAACAGTTTGGGTCTGTGTTTCATGGTTGAACTAATGTTAGCTTGATACTCTAGTACCAACACATCAACATCATGAAGCCCTGGTTGTACGGTTACTGTTTTATCATATACGATCAAAACGGAGGTCACACGTAATCCAAACCTTACAGTTGAGTTGAGCATCCATTCACAGCAGACATACCGCTCAACTAACCAAAGATATTTTAGGCAATTAGGCACCATCTGATGACGTTTCTCTCATATCTAGGAAACGCAGTCTCTTAAAGTCACGTTTCACGATTTCGGCTTGTTAAACTATCATGAAAGAAAGTTTTTGATGAGGGATTTTTTTGGCTGCAGAGCTTAAAAAAATACATACAGTATATATATTGTGTGTGAGAAGCAGTGCTGTTGAAAAAGCACTAAATTGGCCCCTGAGGCCGCTCTTGTGATCGCTCACTGGAGTCCACTGATAAATTAACTGCATTGTCAGTCAAAGGTTTCCATAGAAACAGTCACATGTCCTTCATCTATCTCAACCTTTTGGCTTCCTTCTGAGATACAGCTATCTGTGTTTGATGAATGGATCTTATCAGCTCCATTTAGCATTTAGCGTGGAATCTCACACAGCTAGCGACTTTAGTGCATCGTTAGTGGATTCTTCTGCAATCCTGTTAATGTTGTAACTATTGACCTGACTGTTAACTGAGCTGAGTGCTGCTCTTTCTGGATGAAAATCCATTTAAAAAGCCTCAACGATGCCGGGCAAAAAGGGAAGAGAGTTAGGCCATTAGTTAATTATCTACAGCCTGACGTATGTGAGCCATTACTATGAAGTAACCTGAACCTGCTGCTGACACAAGGACGATGTTTGATGAGTTTTATTGAGTTTCTCGTAGTTCTAAAAGAAGGATTGCTTTCTTGACTCATGGATTTATTGATACTGTGATGGTTAGTAGTCCTCCTGTTTACTGTAACTCTTAACATAGCGGAGGCGGCCTGAAAGGAGATTGCCTTTCATGAAATTAAAGCAGCAGTGATTGATTGTTTGACCACTTGTGGGCAAGTTGTAAACAAAACATTGACATATTATCATTGTATAAAGTTGTTTTGGTGAGCAGCAACAGTATTATTTATTTGGTCTCGTTTTTCTGGCCATTTGACAAACATAAGTCCAATATTCACTCTCTTTTAGCTCTGTTTTTGGTCTCCACCAACTCTTTATCAGAGCTGTGCCTGATGAGATCGGTGAGAGTCAACCAAAAACAGTAAAAATGCGCAACGTGAAACCAAAACAATGAGCTGAAAGACGCTAAAACAAAACTGAAATGAACTGCAGAGTCGGGTTCATCGCTACGAGCAACTCCTTTTATATTTGACATTGTGATTTTATCTGTTGCTATTATGAAAAGGGGACATACCACACAAGTGAGAGAATTAAAACCACCATCTAGTAAACAGATATGATCACAAGATGAGATGTGTCTGGATCTGTCATACTTAATGCTTCATGTTTAATGTTAGTGGATGAGAGCAGGACGGTAAACTTGAGTGAGGCCGGCAGAGACATTAAAATATTTATAAACTTTTTGCCGTTTTCCAGTTGTTACGTAGCTTCATCACACAAGAAGAAAACGTGGACAATCAGGACAACAAGACAATAATAATTAATAATCATTCTGTTTGTTTGTTTTTCCTGTGCTTTAAGTGAATGTCTTGTCCGTCTGTCTGAATCCATGTAAATGCACCATACAAGTATATTCCGACGTCTGGCTGAGGTTAGTTTGCAGCTTTATATGTAAAGCAGCAAGTTAGTATGAACTTATCTAAGTACACCAAGCACCCACAATGGCAATGTGACCTTTTAAAAAAAAAAAGTCAAATAAACAAAACAAACCAGCTGGACTCATTTTAACATCAGTGTGTCTGTGTTGATTTTAGAGTTAAAATTAGGATGTGGGAAAATGGGATGTGGTATTTGTGGGATTTTAAAATTTACAACACCTTTCACACAGGGCTTAAGACTTATCCCACTTAGTGACTTGGTTTGGATTATATAATACAGATACAATGTGTTGTGTTGTGCTAAACATTATGCAACGTTACCGCAGAGACCCCCGTAACGTCAGATGAGGGATGCAGACATCAGCGTCTCTCCTTTTCTTTTTTTCTTCCTGTTTTTTATGAACATGTGAAACAGTTTAAACGTTTTCTCCAGGTGCAGTTGCTCCTCTGTCTCAGGTTTAAATGGAAAATACCAACGAGCAAAGAGAAAAAGATGCTCATTTAGTTGCGGAGCCAACTATGACTGAACTGCTGCTCTCTGGAGAAGGTATGGTTTTGTGATTTGGACTCATCGCTGCATTGTTCCTGCTGTCTCTACAGGGTTAGAGAGGACTCTCTTACATCATTTGGATTTGACTGAAGATTGCTCCGCCGCGAGATTCCACACAAGAGGTCGGTGTTTTTGGTTAGTTTCTAGTTTCCTCAGGAGATGTTTTGGAGTTGGGAATACTAACCAAACAAACAGAAACACGGTTTCCTGCTTTTCTTGTTATGATATTATTGGGGTTCCTGCACCTGCCTGTTACCAGTGGAAATACAAGCTGTTCCCATGGGCCCCTATTGTTCCGGGCAGGTGTTATTGAACGTGACTCCTTTTTAAAACTGAAAACTTGAGTGTCTCACTGTGAGCAATTGCTTCCTAAATGAACACTTTTCCATTGTGATTCTGCTCTTCTAACTTGTTTTAAGTGGGCGAGTTGTTTGCTTTTGTTGCCAGATTCACTATCAACTAAATCTGCTTGGTCCACACATACACACAGTCCTGATGATTGGCTTAGTTTTTGAGCTCTTAAAGGACCAGTTTGTACAATTTAGGTGTAGTTGCATCCTTCCTCGCTTCAGCCTCCTTTTCTAAGCGTATAGGAGAAACTATAGTGGCCGTAAAACGCACCAAGAAATGCATAAGATATCATACCAATGAGTTTCTGCCAGTAGATCCTCCTAAATGTTACACACTGGATCTTGAATGAATAATACCCAAAGATTTTCCTTGTTTAGTGTTGAATAGTTAACGTTAAGTAGTGAAGCCTTTAAATTATTGGTTCACAACCATTTTCAGCTTCTGACACTTTGAAACAAAGTAATGTCAGTTTGCAGCCTCTGGCTAAAGTTGTGAAGTTAGCCAAAAAGTAATTTTTCCTTCTCAGATTCGTTTGATTGGATAAATTCAAAGGCACAAAAAAGTCAACTTTAGAGAAGAGACAGACAATAAAAACAAATGTCCTATTGTAAAATGCCAGTTTATTAGGTACACC